TATATATATATACATATATATATATATATCCCATTTTATACAGAGTGCTCATTAGCACTGCAGGACAGCCCACGCCCGCATATGTTAGCCTGGCTCCCCGGGTTGTGTGGGCTAGGGCCGCTCCCAGTCACCCCCTTACTGTGTTCCACTAGGCACCTTCAACTAAAGGCTATTACAGCCACTGGCTTTTTCTTTTCCTCAGACACCCAGCGTAGTGGGGGTGTGGCTCAGTAGTAGAGCATTTGCCTAGAATGTGGAAGGCCCTGGGTTACATCCTCAGTACCGCACACACATACACACACACGCCACACACGCACGCACAAACACAAAGTCAGTGTGATTTTATTTTAAAGGTAACTAAAAGGATAAATTTGAGTCAAGATGCAGAAACATGATTTTATATGACAGGCCTTTTAAAAATGTATATTGGATAGTAAATTAATAATGCTCAATAAATTTCAATAATAATAAAAAGTCAAGAAGGCGAAGGCTCAGCTTTGTTGTCACCGCTGTCACAAACGGTAGTGTCCAGTTTTCTTCACTAAACCCTCCTGTGGGCCTGCCTGATGAGTGTGCTCGGCAGAATGCAGAAGTCAGCGGCCTGAGAGTTATGGCCATCCCGGGGGAGAAGATTCACTGTTAATGTAAGTGAGTGAGTGTCTTGGCATAGGAACGCTGCTGCCACGTGCTGTTTCTCGGCAATCTATTTTCTCTCCAGAGATTTTTTCTGAGAGCTGGTCAGCTTGGTCTACACTGTGGCGAGAAAGAATCACTAAAGAAAAGGCCAGTTCACGCTGTCCTTGAATACAGAGTTCTCCCCGCAAAAAAAGCAGAGTTAAGTCATCGAAACCCTACCAGAGGTTGAAGTATTAAAAATCTTTCATTTAAGCCAGGTGGTGATGGTGCCCGCCTTTAATCCTGCCTCAGGAGGCAGAGGCAGGAGGATCTCTGAGTTTGAGGCCAACCTGGTCTACAGAGCGAGTTCTGGGGCAGCCAAAGCTACACAGAGAAACTCTGCCTCAATAATAATAGTTATTATTTATTTGGTCTCCTGAATTATTCTTTTAGCTTAAGAACAACTTTATTAGAGTTTAGGAAAACCATAGTATAGGTTAGGTGAAACCCCTGGCAGTGCCAGGAGAGGGAGAGAGAAAAACCATGCCTTTCACGCTGGATGTAGGCAGATGATTGAGGAAGGAAAAGGCACACCCAGGAGCACAAGTGGCCCAGTGAGCAGAGGAAAGAGCCAGCTTCCTGAATCCTGGAATTCTTATGACTACACACTTTGGAAAGCTGAATTGAGGGAGCCAGGCTTTTGAATTAACTTACAGAGTTTCCTCATTTCCTTAATTTAATGTTCTGCTACTATGATAAAACGTCATGACCAATGCAGTTCATAAAGGAATGTATTTAGCTGGGATTATGGGTCCAAAGGGCTAAACTCCATGATAACAAAGCAAAGGATCAGCTGGGCACTCACGTCTTGGTCCACAACTAAGATTTAGCAGAGAGAATGTCTGAATGTCTGGGAATGTCAAAAGTCTGAAACCTTCAAGCCTGCCCCAGTGCTACACCTTTTCCAACAAGCGCACACCTCTTTATCCTTCCCAAACACTTCTGCCAGCTGGGGCCTGGGTGTTCAAACAGTGAGCATGTAAGAGCCATTCTTATTCAAACCACTGTAACCATTATAGTTTCCATGCATTGCTTATATCCTAGAGACCTCAGAATTGTCTCGTTTTTGTAATTTTCTTGAAAATATGCAGAGTAGTAGACTCATGGTGTTCCTCCTAAGGCTTTTTCTGTGTTCGCTGTATGGCAAAGTCTGACGGCATTCATTTGATACGGTTGGCGCAGTTAGTGTCCACTCTTGATTGCAGTGTGCAGGGTCCTTACTCCTCCAGCAGTCGTGCAGAGCGCTGGTGCAAACCTCCCGTGCCCTGGTGCTCGCCTCTGCTCCCCAGCTCCTGATAGTGACTGCATGGCGTGGGATTCCAAGTCTTGACTTCACAACCTGTAACTGTTTCTTTTTTGTTTGAGTTTGTTTCGTGGTGATGGTTTTGGTTTGTGTTTGTATTTTGAGATCTTATACTGCAACCTAGGCTGGCCTAGAATTTACTGTAGTCCAGGGTCTCCTTGAGCCCACACCAATCCTCCCTCATCCACCTTTTGGATGCTAGGATTACAGGTGTGACGACTGTTTATTCCTCTTCTGTGTCTTACAGGAATTTCCTTTTTCCAAATGAGAATAGCACATCCCGAATTCTAAGAAAGACTGTAATAAATCTGCGGATAGTGTTGATGTACCAAGAAGGGTTATTGGACATAAATACCCTACCCTCTGTAATAGCTGCTCAGTTCATTCCAGAGTGTCCTACAGAACGGAATTGATCTTGAGTTGAGAACTCACTCTGCTTCCGTGAAACTCAAGAGCAAGTCGTTGGTTCCTCCAACTTAAAGCCCAGAGCACAAACCTCAAGGGGCAAGGCTGCAATCAGATTTGATTACCATTTCCTGAGTCCTGACTGTGGGTCAAGCCTTGCTCTTGGGAACATAATCAGTATCCACGGGCCTCTGCTCCACAAGAGGGGTGGGGAGGGGGCAGCAGCCTCAGTATATCCCAGCCTAGTGTGTGAGGTCCTGGGAAACACCATTTTCCTTGCTCCGCTGCAGACAACAGTGGGCACAGGGTACTCTGTCCGGGTTGGCGCTCAGCTCTCATTGCGATTGATCCGTTGTTAATGTGATTCGTTTCTGGCCCTTGCATTGCAGTTCCACAGGCTTGGCGCTGAGGCGACAGGCCCATAAATGTTTGCTGGTTGGGTGGATGAAAGATTCTGGCTTTGTTGACTTTATGAGTTCGGGCATCACGAATGAGAGACCGTGAAGCTCTAGGCCGTTTATCGGTTCACAGCAGCGATGGAGCGCGGCAGGGAGGTCAGGTTTCAAAGTTTTAAACTGTTCTGAGAGTTCTGAATGACTCCATCAGATTACATTACAGACTACAGCCTCTGGTACTGTTCTCTAAGGGGCTGTGACTTCTCCAAGGGGCAAAGCGAGCAAACCGCCGAGCTGGCGGAGACGGAAGCGCCAGGTGGCACTGGCCAACAGTAGTCCGGTTGTGACACGCTGATTCCCACGGGACAGCGACGCGGCTGTATCCCGTAGTCTAATTGGCTGCGCTCCGGGCGTGAGGGCGTGGCTACTTGGTCATCAGTTTCCCGAGCTCTGATTGGTTAGCAGCCAAGGGCAAAGCGCAGCTGCCTACCTGTTTCTAGGGAGGAGAGGCCTGTGGAGCTGAGTGGGAACTCAGGACCCGGGGATCCCCGCTTCGCCCTGTGCTCGCACTGCCGCCCACAGGTGAGCCACCCCCTTTTCCTCCAGCTCGGACTGAGCCCCAAGCCAGCTCACCAGGGTCATGGTTAGCAGCTAACCACCGAGAACGTCCCCACAGACACTCCAATCGGGGAACACCATGAGTTT